GCCAGGCCCGGCCTCCTCCCTCCCCCCAGGTCTGGCCACCCTGGACAGCCCCGCCGCCCCCCCACAGCCCCATCGCCCCGGACAGCTGAGCTGCCCGCCGCCCCTCACGGACACCGAGCCCGGCCTTCACAGGCTGCCCCTGCCGGGGCTGACACGCGGTGTGGAGGGGCAGTGGCCACTTCACAGGGCGGCCACCCCCGCGCTGGCTGGCAGGGCCCTGCATGCTCCGCAGCCCACTTCCGTTGTCCCTTCGCCCTCGAGCCACCTCCTGATGTCTCTCCTTGCGGTTCGGTCCATGCGCCCCCCACCCCGCACCCCAGGGGCCTTGGGAGCCGGGGCCTGCACCACGGGGCTGGCTCCCAAGCCCGCCGAGGCGCGGCGCTGTGACTGCGGCCGCCCCTTCACCCCCGCCAAGGAGACGCTGGAGCAGGACTCGGCCGGCCGGGCTGGCTTCCTGGCGCCAGGCCGGGACTCGGCATTTCTACCTGCCGGCTGGGATGGGCACGTCCTCGCCAGGTGGGCAAGTGCCGGACACCCCACGTGGGGCCGGGCGGCGGTGCTTTGGGGGCTCAGGCGGGCCGTGACAGCCCCTCCTTGGCCAGCGAGGCCCAGCTTCCTCAGCTGCCCTGTCCCCGACACCTTCCCAGGGGACGGGCGGGGACCCCAACTGCCGTCGTTTTCTCTCTGGGACCCCGACTCCGTCCACTGCCCCGCGCTCTGTGCCCAGGGTCTTCGCTGTCTGTCTGAAGGAGGGGCGCGGCCCGCAGGGTGCGGCGGACGACTAGTCCGCAGGTGCTGCCCGCTGGTGGGCAGCCTCAGCCTTCCCCACCCTGGGTCCTGGGCAGGTGACCGGCCGCTCAGCCTCGGCTGCCTCACCTGTGAAGTGGGGTGGACACCCCCTTCCACATGGGGTTGGAGGAAGCCCAGGCAGAGCGAGGCTAAGAGGATGACAGGAAGGAAGTCGTCACCAGCTGGGGCACAGTGAGGAGCAATGTGGAGAGGGGGTGCTGGCCTAGACGGGGCCTGGGGCTTCTTCCTGGAGCACCCCTTTACCTCCTCATAGCGCTGAGGGGCCCGGGCTGGGCTGAGCAAGGACAGGCGAAGGTAGGTTGGAGAACTGCCCTGTGGGGGTGGCCAGCCTGGCTTATACTCTGCACCCCAACCCCAACCCCAACCCCTGGCTGCTTTCTGAAACCTCCTTGGCCGCTCTCCCAGCCCCAACCCTGCCACCTGGGAGCCAGACTGATAATCCTTCTTAGTGGCTAAAAATATCCGGGACTGGGAAGAGAGGTCAGAGCTCTGTGCTGACATGGGGCCAGGGATGAGTAGGGGTCCTGCCCCCAGGTCCCCCAGCACCTGGGAGAGCAGCCCCGGTGGCCACTGTGCCCCTGAGCCGGGTGCCCGCCTGGCCCGGCAGAGCAGGGCTGCACACAGGTTTCTTTTTCTTGTTTTCTGACACAGGTTTCTTTTGTTGTGTTTCAAATCTAGCCGGAAACGGGCTTACCCAGCCTGTAAAAAGGGAACCGCGCTCAGACCCCAGCTGTCTGGGCTGCTCAGGGGCGGGCGACGGACACGCACACACACACTCACACACCCTTGGGCCTGGCCCGCTGCCTGGGTCACCTGGCCCGCGCTGGAGGCTGGAGCACATCGTGTGCCTGGCAGGGGTGGTTGGCAGATAACCACAGGGGCCTCACTGGCCTGGCTGTGCCTCCAGATGGCCCCTGCTCGGCCCCTTCGAGCAGGTCACCCCGGCGGGCCAATGACCAGAGCCACAGCTGGCCCTTGGGGACCACCGAGCTGCCCCCAGTCTGCGGCGCAGCTCCCCCAGCCTCACGGTCACGCAGCGTCTCCCGGTTCCGGCAGCCTGGGCTGCACATGCCAGGTACACCTCTGCCACACAGGCAGGTGAAGCGAACACGCCCCGACACACGCCCTGGCCCCGCCTGGCCCACTGCCAGCAGCGGGCCTGGCTGCCTCCTGCCCCAGGGCCTCGGACGGGACGTTCCCCATCGCAGCCGTGTCCAGCTGGTCTCCTCACCCACACCCCAGAGCAGACGCTGCCTCCTCAGAGAGGCTGCAGGTCGCCGCGAAGGCCCCGGCCTGCTCGTCTCCTCCGCCCCCTGCCGCGGTCTCCTCACCCCCGGGCTTACACCGCCGGGAAGCAGCACAGCTGCTCGGCCCACTGCGTCCTTAGACACGGCCTGGCACCAGCTAAATGTTTGCTCAGCGGACGAATGACTGTAAAACGAACCGGGGACGGGGTGGACGAGAGGGCTTTGGTGCAGGTGGTGGAACTTCCGAAGAGAGAAAGCCCAGGCGGGGCACCTTGACGCCTGGAAAGTCGGTTCCCGGCCTCCCTGCTTCGGAGCTGAGATGACGGACACAGGGCACACCGACACAGGGCAGGAGGGCAGGTGGCCCGCCCAGCAGGGGGCAGTGCCTCCAGGCGGCTAGATCCTGCCCTGAGCCGCTGTGTCCCACGGCACCCCCAGCCGGGCACCCCCAGCCAGCTCCTGGCCTGCTCCTCAACCCCACCTGCTCACCTGGCTGCATCTCCTCAGAACCCCCCCATTTCCCAGATAAAAGCCACCCTGCAAAGAGGGCCTGCAGCGGCTCAGCCTCGGGCTGGCTGCCACCCGCCCTCCAGAATCTGACGCTCCATTTGCGGCCCTGGACTGTCCCTGGCCCCAGCACCCGGGCTCACAAAAGCCTTCCTCCCCACCGGCCAGCCCCGCAGGGCCAGTTCCTGCCAGTCGGGCAGCAGATTAAATTTCCCTACCTCAGGGCCTTCCCTGCACGCCCCAGCTTCCGCAGCGCCCCCTCCCCAGCCCCCGGCCTGCCCAGGGCCGCTCCAGTTTTTCCAGTTCTGGGCCCCGCAGTGCACCTTGGGGGCAGGCTGGCTCAACCCCTCCGCTGGGAGGGAGATCCGTGCCCCAAGTGTCACTGTGTGGTGTGTGTGGGGGGGGGACACCCGGGAGGTATCCAGAGAGGGGAGGTGAGACCAGGCATCTGTGAGTTTGAGGGTAACTACCGGCCCACGCGGGAGGGGAGGAGCAGGGGGCGGCGTCCGTTACCTGCACAGGGGCTGAACAGGCACACAGGTGGGAGTGGAGGGGCGTTTGCTTCATCAGCACTATTAAAACACCCTGTGTCGAGATGCAGGATACCACTTGTTTAACGTGTGTGATTCAGCGCGTTCTGACATATGGACCTAGCTGTGAAATCATCGCCTCAAACAAGATAATAAAAACATCCATCATTTCCTGAAACGAGTCCAGAGTGCTTAATTGCTTGATAAATTTCCTTGTGTTCCTTCCGCTCTCTCTCCCTCCTGATAAAGCCTAGAAGCAACCTTGATGTTTGTGCTGTAGCCGGGGATCAGAAACCTCAGGATTCCTCACTATGAAGTATTACATAAGAGTCTAAGAGAGCAGGGAGGTAACTATGGATGAACCTTGAGGACATTATACTCTGTGAAACAAGCCAGACTCCACTTCCTGCACTTACAGGGGTGTGTGTGTGTGTCTGTGTCTGGTGAGTCATCAACATAGAGGCAGAAAGGAGAAGGTGGGTGCCATTTGGGGAGTCAGCGTTGGATGGGGGACTCAGGAAGAGAAGAAACTTCTGCAGAGGTATATTCACTTCACGGTGTAACCAAGCCATGTTCACTTTGTACTTAGAAATGGTTGAGATGGTAAATTTTATGTTAATGGGTATTTGGTCACATTAAAATTTTTAATTTTTCTGTAAAATATTAACAAAGTCGGGGGTGAGGAAAGAGAAAGAAAAGCCATACTTGCTGAATTGGGAGGACCACTGAATTCAAAAATAAAAGCAAAATGCAGAGAAACCCCGATGGCCTGCTATGCCATTTGTACAACTGGAAACCACTTCTGCCTTTGGTAACTGTAGAGTTTAGTGGCCATCAGACCAGTTCTCCAGAGAGAACAATGACGATGTCTGGACTGCACAGAAAAACAATTACACCCGAAAGCTTTGGTATTGCAATGTCCACTGCAGTAGCCACTGGCCATATCTACTGCTCAAAGTCAGATTAAAAACAGTGTAAAATTCAGCTTTTTAGAGGCGCCAGGAACATTTCTACACTCCAGAGTCCCAACAGACTAGTGGCTATCATATCAAGCAGTACAGGGAGGGGATATTTCCATCACCACAGGAAGTTCTGCTGGGCAGTACTGTGTAAAAGAGTGACCCCAAACAGGCAGAAGCTCGAGAAGGGTCTATGCCTGAAGGAACAGCACAAGGTACTGCTGCTTCTTACTGCAGCACCTTGAAAATGTATTTACTGGAGCTAGCAACTGGCTTGAAAAATGAGACAACAGAGCCTAGCGAGGTGCAACAGCTCAACAATGAGACAGAACTAGGAAAGGAAAGAGTCAAAAAAAAAAAGGAAGTTCTACATTCTACACAAACACTGCAAGTCTCTTGCTAAGCCTTGAACCATGAATGGGCAGGGCGGACTCCAAGCAGCACAGAATCACTGAAAGACTGAAACTGACCCAGGGGAACCTCTGGCCCTATGTGTTTTCCAACTGACATTTAAAAAAGAAAAAAATCAATATCAAGCAAAAATTTTCTTTTACATTAAAATCTCAGCGATCTATAATGGACCAGGCGAGAAAATAATAAGGATAATGAACAG